GCTTGCGGTCGTGCCCTCGTCGGGAATGGTGGGGGTGGACGCGGAGCGGAAGGCGAACGGGAACGGGAACGGATTTGTGCCGCTCCCGAAGGTGGTCGTCGCGGTGGAGAAAGAGCGGGAGAAGCTGCTGAACGCCACGGGCGACATCTGCGGTGGGCGTGGGGGCGAGCTCGGGCGCCGGCTCGAGGCGTGGTTGTACGTGAACGGGGACGCGGACGGGCGTGTGGGGCTTGGGCGGCGGTGGGAGGGGGACGAGGATGAGGACTGAGTGCTGATCCACTTCCCCGGTCTCCGTTTACACTTCCGTCGCCGGCCCCCGGGGGCTCGGTGTTCTTGTCTGGCATCTGGACTCGAACTTTGGTGCGCCTTTCTTGGTTTCTGCCTGCCTTTCCTCTCACCGTCTGTATATCCACTCGACTCTTTTCTTCACGCACGATCTAGTTACATCTGGGGGTATAGAAGCCGGTAGCGGTATCCACTATGGTATGTAATGACACGATATTCCTCGCCATATGCACCACGATCCCATTCCCATCCCATCCCATCCATTCATCCACCATCCATCGCATGTACATGTACATCACTCATCTTCGCTGATCCTTGTAATTATTTGCACTCCTCACCGCGGATCCGTATGCACACTTGTACGATATACCCTTACTGGCAGTCTCGATCTCTGGCCAATACAGACATCCTGGATTTTTGCTATGCATTCACACTGACGGCTGCTTCCCGATTTACAAGTCGGGCGACGTCAATTGGTAGTACAGAAGGAATGCTGTTTTGCGATCCATTGAACGGTCACGTATGCGAAGATACAATGTGAGGCTGGAACAGTCCGGCCCTCTGCGCCTGAGGCAATGATCCCACTCCGAGTTGCACAGAACGTATTCCGAGGTCGTACAGTGCTCATGCGTGCCATGCCTTGGCAATGAGCTCCGTGAGACCTGCAGGTCCGAACGACATTACGGGCTGGTGAGAATGCGGATCTATGCGGCGCAAGCGAGACCGGAGACGCACCGATGTCGTTCGTGTTGAACTGGTAGACACCGACGAGCACACCGACGGTGGTCGCGCGCAGTGTCCACGAGAAGATCTTTCCAAGGATGGGGAACTTGCGGGGGTGGAGGTAGTCGACGAGGACCGCATCGAACTGTTGAGCGGGCGCGTCATCGTCAGTGCCCGGCGCTTGCAATCACATGTGATACAGATGAACGGGTCGGATGCGTCGGCCTCTACGTCCGACCACACGAGCATAGACGCGACTACGGCGGGGAGTGCAGCAAAAGGCGTGCAGATGGCACATGGACAAGGCTAGAGAGGCAGAGAGGATAGACGTACGCCAATGTGACTATGCATCACCAAGCTCACACCGAGCAGACCGTCGAGGATGGGGTAGTTGGTGCCGCTAGTGACAAACGACGCGACGGTGAGGGGGACCAGTCCCGCGGAGAGGATGCGTTCGAATGCCCAGTGGTACGAGCCGTGCGACTTGGAGGGCGGGGGGAAAGGAGTGGGGTCGTTCACGGTGCCCCTGTAGATGGCTGCGGTTCATCTATGAGCGGCGAGCGCGACGAGGTCAAGGGTTGGGTGTACTCACGACCACCAGGGACGTATGCAGCATCTGCTGCTCCTCGTGCTGTAGCTGAACATTAGCATACATGCCCACAGGTTTACCCCGCACGCGAGCGAAGGCAAACTGCATGCACAGTGAACGACATGGGCATGGAGAGCTGAACAGACCTTGCAGGGCGAGCGGCCGTAGGGACCTGCGCGCGAGGGCGGCGGCGATGTTCCTGTTGAACGCGGAGCGGGCGACGAGGGACGAGGACATGGCGGGCGTTGTGGACGGAGGTAAGGATGACAGGCGCGCGTTGTGGAGGAGATCGGTAGTGGCGAATCGTCTCTTTCCGATTGGCCCCTCGGGCGCTCCCTTGTCGGCCGTTTTGTCCGGCGTTGCAACGAGCGCTCCAAGTAGTCTGAAGTAGATACAAGGACAATATTGTTGCAGCTGCAGAACTCAGCATACAGCCAGCAAGGGGATGGCCTCAGGCTCCTACCCATCCGCCGCTACGAGTGGAGGGCGATATCTAGCAGCGGGAGTCGAGGAGAGATCGAGGAGGAGCGTATACCCGACATCACCAAACGTGTCATGGGAATGACCACCGATGGTCATGACCGTCGCCGTCCGCCATGTCTGTCTTCGTCCTTCAGCAGATAACGCGGAATGATGGAAGCGCGTAACGGTCGGTCGACAGTCGCCATTGCGAGCTGAAGAAATGGCAAATAGCTGCCATTCCTTACGGGCGGCTCGACCTCTGATGACAGCAAGCTGCCATACCGCCGCGTATCCAAGACCACTGACTGCCATATTGCACGGTGCATATGGCGGCTCATGACGAATCCTGGCCGGTGCTCGGGTCAATGCGTGCGCCGTTTGATTCCGCTGGGAGCTGTTTGGCAGTCTAATAGCAGGACAGCGAATAGAATCACATTATATTGGACTAGCCTATTATACAATGCGCGGAGCGGAATATAGCGTAACAACTCAAATCCTCGAGCATACAGAGCGTTGAAACGAGCACACGAGCGCGAGTCCAAAAGCGGACTAGATAAGAGGGGATACGCACATGAGGTGAGATGGGCCACTTCGAGGCTCGGAGCCGTGTTCGCATCGAGCTGCCGGTTTCAGTGGGCAGGCAACGGCACGGACCCAAAGTCGCTCACTATTAGGGACATGAAATTCACGTGTTGGGGAGGGACGAGTGGTGCTACCCACAGCTGGAACACTTACTTTGCAGCGAGGATCAAGGGCGACTATGCGCGGATAGGGATCTCCTGATAGAGGTGAGCTTGTGTGCCGAGATGGCTCGGGGTGAGGAGTGTAGACGTACTCAGTCGACCAGGTAAGGATCTTCGCGACAGGTCAGCGTTGAAGTCGTCGAAGGGCCCTTCTCCTGACTATATGCACCACAATTAGCGAATCTTCGATGCATATACTCACCGCACGTACTGAATACGCACTGTCATGGGCATTGAGCGCTGATCCTCCAAAACGCAGCCGCCCAGGCTTCGAACTCCGACGAAATGGAATTCTATGGTGTTGAGACTGTTCACAGACAGAGGAGAGACGAGCAGAAAAGCAGAGGAGTAGAAGATGAGGAACGCGTAGTTCGGCACGGGAGACGGCCAGACGGGATGGAGGACGTGCAGGAGATGGTGGTGGTCGAAGGGCAAGGAGGATGAGGAGGGAGAGGAGCCGGAGCTGATTCTTATAGGCCCAGACGTCGTCGCGGGTGACAGCTATGACGACTTCGAATGTTTGGGGCGAAGGGACTGGTCAGGATTGGCACGGAATCGGATGGGCGCAAGATTGCTAGCCGGATCGGTACGAGACACCACGATCACGTGTTGCGACGTCGCGACGCGCGTCGTCTCAGGGCTTCAGATTCTGTCACCCGTCTGTGTTCCCGCACAGCGCACATTAATCTCTCTATCTTTCGGATCCCTTCCTACTCTCCTTTCGCTCTCGAAGCTCCTCGCTCTGTCTGTCTGTCCTTTCCTTCAGTGTCTCCGTCCTGACTGCGCCCTCGCCTCGCCTCGCTCGTCACACAGGCCTCAGCACTATTTTCGCCTACCATGAACCATCTCCGGGACCTGGGCTTGGCTCAATGTGGTGCGTCTCTCCTCCACCTCGGACGCTCCATGCGACGCAATCCGATACCCCGAACAAGCAGACAGACTAAAACGCTCCGGGCGCCATGCAGACGGTCACGGTGCGGACCAGCATGCTAGAGTAACGAGGACGATCCCGATTACGAGCCGCCGCCGGACGAGGATGATGGCGATGGCAAGACGGAGAGCTACGGCGAAGGCAATGATGATGAGAGTGGCGAGAACTCACACTCGTAGATGACCTGTACGGGTAGCACGTTGCAGGCAATACACGTCTGTACCACTCATCACACCGTCGGGGCGCGTGTCCGTGAGCTACTCCAACTTGCGATCGATCGAAGCTACGCATACATGAATGGTCAATGATGCTAACTATCAGTCCTACAGGATGAATCAATACAGAAGGCTGCAGCCTCATGTCGCCGCTGATGAATAATGGCAGGTGTCCGTCTACGCCGACGAATGACTGCAATGCATGGCAGCCATTTGTCGTGCCGACGGGCGTCTGCCATACCGCGTCAGGGGACGCCATCGCGGGTCATTAGGTGCGTTGTTTGCTGATGGAATAGACGCTGGTCAGTTTTGGATTTTGCAGGGCGTGGCACAAAACACAGGTAAATACACCCCCAAAATCCAATAAGTCAAGGGCCCTCCGGGCAGTCCTGGACACGGATTGATATCGCGGTGTGCGGGTTGGCAGTCGAGCGAACTGAGTCGGATGCGGTCGACGGATATGGACTGAGTACTCATTAGTACTCGCACTGCGGCGCAGGTATAAGAACCAGCACGACTGTATTTTCGTGTGCGGTAGTACCGGCTGGGAGGTCGAAGGTCGAAACTTCCTGATACTCAAGTACAGCGCAGGATCTCCTATGTTTGTGAGTACTCTTACACGAACACAGACCGCCTCAGCGTACGTTCACATAGCCTACATGACACAATCGACCCCGGATTTCAAAGCTTCGATCGCAGAGAACGGAACTCGTACGCTAACCTCGCTGCTCATACATCTGGTGTACCTCATGACGATGACGCAGCCAACTCCACGCTGTTAGGGGTCCCGTGGAAACGGACTCCCATTATGAGCGACCTGAAACACAATTAGTCAGCTTTCCCACCCCAGATGGACTCAACATTACTCGAGAGGAGACCTGGCTCACATTCGTGTCCAGGAAAACTGACCAGCGTCTATTCGGGTATACGCTCCTCCTCGATCTCTCCTCGACTCCCGCTGCTAGATATCGCCCTCCACTCGTAGCGGCGGATGGGTAGGAGCCTGGGATGGCCAAGGGACACCGAGGGGACAACGAGACGACAAAAAGCTTTGGACATTCAGGGGATTGAACCCTGGACCTCACGCAACTCCAGTTTCAATGGCCGTGCGAAGCGTGCGCGCTACCACTGTGCCAAATGCCCATGATTCACGAGCATAGCAATGCATACATGTAGGTCTATCGAGACCAATGCCGTGCGTTGAAGTTTCGACATCGAGTTGAACGTTATACCACGTATCATACAGTCATCAAGATGCAGGAACAGTACATGCAGGATCTCAAGCAAGCTGTACGACCCGGGAGAAGTACGACTTGAGACCATCGACATCGTACACGAACGCTCCAACGTATCCATCGGGACGCACCACTGCGATAGTGAGCTGTTGCTCGTCAGCGCGGTACGCGCGGGTCGCATGTCCCTCCTTGTCGTGGTATGATACCGTCCCTGCAATCGCGTCGGGGATGCCTTCGCGGCCGACGACAATCGTCTGAGCGACGCCCGTGGGCAAGGCGCGGGTTGCCTTCACGACGTCCCCAACAGCTGCCTGTGTATCTGCGGACTCTGGAGTAAAGACCAGCACGGTGTGGATGTTCGTCCGGAAGATATCGAACAGGGAAGTTTCCTTGCCGGCAGCGTTGACCAGCGCGGGAGCTTGCGGCGCACGGTCACCTGCATGCACCTCCCCATCGGGGTACCCTTCGTACGCACGCGCCTTGAGATCAGCTTCGTCGAACCCATCGTTGCCACGAGCGTCGACGGCGAGCGGGCTCCAGCGATAGTTGAGCTCGAGCTGGTGGAGCGTACGGTTGCGCCAGGACATCATGAAGCTACTGGAGGTGTTGTCCGCGCCGCTCGGCAGCTTCACGTCTTCGGCCTTCTTGTCCACAGCATGGGTATAGAGGTTGGTGGTGGCTATGAGCATCTGTGCAATCACCGGAACGCGTTCGACCTGGTAGGAGTCGAGGAGGTCGGGGGAAGCAAGACCCTTGCACGCGAGGGCCAATTTCCATGCCAAATTGGTCTGGAGACCTGGATGAGCGTTGATTGGGACCGTCGAACGGAGGTTGCTTACCGAGTCCTGAACGCTGGTATTTAATCCCTGTCCGCCAGTTGGCGAGTGAACATGCGCCGCGTCTGATCAATGAGTGAAATCAGTCATAGAACCTCCGGAATACAGGCAGCACCTCACCTCCGACCAGGAACACACGACCCTCCCGCAACTTGTTGACCATCATCATCTTGGGCCTGGCACGCACGACGTAGTGAGTATCCCAGGGTACGCAGAGTGGCACTGGTGCTTACTTCCAGTAGTTCAAAGATACAATCTCTTTGAAGACAAGCTTCTCACCAAGTCCAGTGTACTTGCGAACGAACTCGACAAACTTCGTGGTGTCAACCAAGTCGGCGGGGTCGAAGTTTTGGGCCAAGATGGAAATGTGGAAAGAGCCCTTGTTAGTGCACGGACGCGCGGAAATTCTGATCAACACAACGGTGAGTGTTACAGGTGCATCTAAAAATGTGAGGGCATGAACGCGTACGAGAATCTGTCCGGAATGGCCCAAACATGCCAATTCTGCGTAGGTAGCTCATTAGCGGCCAGTCGAAAGGTGAGAAGCACCTCACTCACCTCCGAGGAGATTCCGTCGAGAACGACGTCCGCAAAGACTTGCCCATCGGCGTCTTTGGTCTGACCTTCGTAGACGGCGCCAATAGCCGTGCGTGTCATGCCTGGGGAACCAGGGTCAGCGCACTCGTGCACGATGATTCATGATCAGACACTAACCCTTGGCTCCGTCGGCGCCGATCACATACGAGGCCTGTATGACTTCCTCCTGTTCGGTGTTGTCGACGGTAAGCTTCCTGACCGTGACCTTGACGCCGTCGGCATCCTGTACTAGGGAAATGGGCTCGGTCCCTAGCTCCACTTGGACGCCATGCTTGGCCAGATGGTCTCGCAAAATGCCCTCCGTGATGTATTGGCACAACAATCTGGTTTCCTGTTTGAGTATGTATCAACTCAACGGCACGGCCTGCTAAGACTGAGATAGAGAGGGAACATACCGAGTCTGGGCGGTCGGGCGTGGGGTCAACCGGTTCGAACATACGCCATGTTCGAACAACCTCGGTGGTACCAGGCTTGTATGCTTGCAACGGTGTCAACGGTTTGGAAGCCTTGTGGACATCGTCCGCTATCCCAAGGATGCGGAAGAGTTCCAATGACCTCGGCTGCAAAACATCGCCGTGAATATCTCTTCACAGTGCCGACTGGTTTCGCCAAACTTACGTGCAAGCCCGCGCCGCGGGACATTCTGTGGAAAGAGGTGGCCTTGTCGACAACGCGGACAGGAACATTGTTCTTCGCCAGGGTTAGCGCAGCGGTCAACCCCGCTGGTCCTCCGCCGATCTAGTGAGCAATCCGTCAGTCATGCTTTCGTTACTGTCGCCGATGAAGATACGCACAACTAGAGCGGGAAGAGGTCTGAGAACAGCCGACATCGTGTGTTGTGTGAAGTTGAGTTAGGTAGCAGTGAATATGAGTTGGGGCGGACCCTTCGAATTGCATTCGAGTTATATAGGCCGCCGAACCATCCTGGGCAGAGCGCTCCTGAGAGCAATCTCGGTTCCTCAACATTTCATGCTGCAGGCGATGTGAATGCGTGAGTCGTACACCGGGCACAACATGTCAACGTGAAGTGTTTCACGCAATCCCCAGCGACTGGGAAGCCGCGCAATCGACATGGCAGTCGGATTCACGAAGTGGAATTTGTGGGTTTGACAGCGGCTACGATGGTTCTATCATCGGTACTGCGATTCAGGACAAGAGTAGAGCGCTCACCTACAACCTGCTGGTGAGCCTGACTTGGAGCCGATACCGTCGGTGTCGGACAGTTTGTGACTCATCGGAATGGCGGCGGCGTGGGGGCGTGTGACATCGCATGCGCCTTGGCAAAAGCCACTTCTCCGACTTTCTCCGTAGTCGAGGACCCGTATGCTCCGCGTCATACCGCAGCGGGCTAGAGTGCAAGGGATGATTATAGATACAACGAAAGCAGAGTTCTACAATACTACCAGGTACCAACGATTGCACGCTCAGATGTCCATTTTGTCCTCGCTCTCCCAGCCCGGATTCTTCTGCAGGATGACGAACCCTTCCAACACGTGCGCGAAGGGGATGTACTCCTCCGTTGCGAGCTCTGCGCGCTCCGTCGTGCCCAGCCGCACCGGCGTCGAGTGTGTCTGGAAGCCGGAGATCGTCCTGGGCTTGCCGGCCTGTCCAACGACGTCGACCGCCTGGCCAACACGCACGGTCACCGGGATGCTGTTGAGCTCCTCATCGAGCGTGATGAGGAACCGGGGGTACATCGCGGGCGTCAGGAAGTAGAGCATCCAGTGGTACTTGTCGAGAATAACTGCGATGATCGTGCCATTAGTGTCCGCTAATGAGAGAAGGTGAGTTCAACTTACAGCCCTTAGCGTCTGTGAACGCAGTCAAGGTAGCCAGCAACCCCGCAACCGCTGTCCTGCCCATGATTGTCCTGTCTGAGAAGAAGGGGTTGATCGTGATCGTGCCCTTGCCCATGTGTACTAGACCCTGCGCTATCCGGACCATGAACAGACAATCGGGCTCCTTGTAGTAGTAGCCCGCAAGTTGCCGGAGCATCTGCGCCAGTCGAGCGTTGTTCGTGCCCGCGCCGATAAGACCCATAGCAAAGATCGCGTTGAGTGCGACTTGCAGATCGTTGTCGTGACTGTATTTCGACAACGTGTCCATAATGGGTAGCTGAGGATTTGATGCGCTGACGAGACCGAGGGCGAGAGGAACGGCTTTCCTGATGATTGGCTCGCCGTAGTGCATCTTGATCACACGTTTAGGATCAGCTAGATGCACAACCAGTGTATGTAACTCACGAGGTGGTTGAATTGTCGGAGAGACATCTCCGAGCCGATCTCTTCGCCCATAGCCACGAGCGCAATGCCGATGACTGCGAAGGCCTGGAAGGTATCGTCCTTGGCGGGTTCGTCGGATGCAGTGTCTTTGTCGTCCTTCTTCTCCTTCGGCGTCTTGTCGATGTGTTCGTCGCAATAGTGTAGGAGCTCCTGGACTTTGAGCACATTGCCCGTTCCAGCAAATGAGCACATGTCGACCAAGACGACGGCGGTCTGCGAGATCTGGTGCTCAATCGCCTTGAGGGTGATAATCGTGGCGTCCGAGCCCTCCTGGAGACCTGTTTCACTGGTGAGCCTCTGGTTGACGCTGACGTGAATTTGACATGGGCTTACGCACCGAGGTAGAGAAGCGCAAGACCGAGAACCATGAATCGTGCCCACTTCTCGTCCAGCTGCTTGTCTTCGCGTTCCATGAGTGTCTGCAAGATCGTGCTGGCGACCTCGCCATTCCCGCTCCCAACAAAGATGAATCCAACCGCAAGCGATGCCAGCGATGCAATCTCCATCGACACGCCGTCATCTGCGACGATAGGCAGGAGCATCGACATCAGGTCTTCGCGCTGCGCACCGGCATAAGCCAGCCCGAGACCCACGATCGCGGAGGTCTTCAGCGGTACAGACTTGTTGTCGAGGTATTCGGTGAGAAGTGCGATGGCCGCGTCCGCCTCTGTTCGAACGCCACTGCCAAGGATACCCGTCGCGAGCAGCGCACCGGCCTTAATGTACTCTTCCGAGGAGTACGTGTACTTGTCGACTTGGGAGTAGCCGTCGTCGACGTCCCAAAGCAGACTCAGACCAAGACTTGCGGCAGCGCTTAGCATGCCATGGTCCTTGTTCTTGTACACCCAACTGCTCCCCTCTTCCGCCTTCGCCATGAGCTTCTCGTTACCGAAGCCGGCGTTGACGAATGCGTTGACGAAGGTACCTGCAAGATTCGCCTTCGCGGAGTCGACATTCGCCGTGGTGGTCCCTGGCAGCAGAGGTCAGACAAATTTCATGAGAGAGACTCGCTTGGTACGCACTGGTGTTTTCGAGGTGTGTCTTATAGACATCCTCTAGACTCTTGGGCTCCAGGACGTTCAGCTCCTTACCGAACTCCTTGAAGTGCTTGGAAAGTTGTGCGTTGCTCAAACACTCGACAAGGTCTTCAGGTAGTTCCTCGGCGTCGTCCATGCCATCCTCCGCGGGAGCGT